CACGTTGAATTACCTATGTGGGAAAATGTTCAGAACCAATGAACAACCTTTTGCAGAGATAGAAAAATTTTACTTTCTAATCCAGTGGAGAACCAAAATATTTCAGATTTTTGAATCCTAAAATTTTTCTATCTCTGCAAAAACTTGTTCGTTGGTTCTGAACATTTCCCCACATATTTAATTCAACGTGCTCTACAATCTGGCAGTGCCAAAATATGTTCAGTTGGAAATTCATAGTGGGTCTAGCGACATCCAAATTTCAGAGACGCATCCTAGAAAGGCCTAGCAGCAGAAACAGATATCAGATTCGTGATCAGCATCAAGCAAGATTACTCACAATCGTGTACGTTTTAAGGAAAAAGTGATTGGACATTTGGAAAGGTTCCCTCGTTAGATGAGCTTCAACTAGTCGCATTATTAGCAATATGGAAGGACATAAATGCTAAGAAAAACAACAGACAGCATATCCGAACCGATCACGATATAATAAAGTCAACGGTGTTCAAAAGATAAAATTGAACACTTTTTCAAAAAAACTGCCCTTTGCCACCTTATTAGCTCTCTATGTGCTGTCTTTCACACTGTATATATATCTTATGTAATCGATCAAACTATGTGCATATGTTCCGATAGAAGGGATTAACATTTATATCTGTATATTCCTCGTATACGTTCATAATGTGTTAACAAGCTTGAGCATTATCTATTTTTCTTATCAAATATATAAAGTAACAAGTTCAATAAGACAAAATGAGAAATTGCCATTAGATGAGAAAAAATTATTTGTTAAAGGATTTTGATCAAAATTAATCGAACAAATGTCGACAGGAAAGAAGAAAAGATGACCACCACTACCACTACCACCATTATCGCATGTACAGAAAGATCGAACGTAAATATTTACATCAAGAGAAATAGAAAGAGAAAATATGCGACGACAACGTCAATTTTCCGGTTTCAATCAATCATAATATGTCTACGTTAAAATTAGACACGTAAACCAAATTTAACGCGAGTGACCGAAATAAGGATTAAAATGCCGCCTATACACCTATTCTTCTCCTCCTCTTCTTCTCGTTTGATCATTTCGGGTTTTAATTGTTATGTTGTATGTGTGTGTGTGTATGTAATTTTACAGTGTCGCGTCTTACACGTAACGGACACACAATTAGAGAAGGTCATCTAAGATTAATTTCGTTGTTCATACAGAAAAAACTTAAATTCGATATAAATCTATCAGGAGAGAAAGCAAGCAATTTCCGCCTTCTCTAGAATTAGAGATTCCTGATCTCTCTCATTTCTTTTTGTTACATTTTTTTGACACAGTACTAATCCTTCCTCTTTCTTCTTTCTCTCATCAAAATGTTTTCGAATGTTTTTCCTCATGCCCCCTGTCCTTCTTCGCTGGTATTTGTCGCGTAGTAATTTTGACTTTATATACCGATGGAATTTTCAATGTAGGCGCTTGGAATTAAGTAATCTTACGAGAGAAAGAGAGAGAAAAAGAGAAAAAAGTATACGTTTCTAGTTTAAGTGTGACAATTAAAAAAGTTGTGAAGTCACTCAGTAAAAAGTATCGTTTCATTTTTAAGATTGAACGAGAGAAAGAAACGTCTGAGATCAACTGACTTCACCACTAATAAATAAATATTCAATTAAGTTTATTATAAAAAAGAATAATCTAACTTTTACATTCATCAATAATAATAAAAACAATAATTTGTTATTAGCCGCATGCTGGTATGAGGCACAATTTTTTAGTCGGTAAGCAACTAAGCATACGTTTTCCTACAATTACACATATAAAGCAAAGTTGCCTCTAGGATAGTAGTCAACTTTTTTTCTTACATGTTTGATGTAAATTGTACCATTTGTGACGACAGTCTAATAATTGTATGAAATCAATTATCTATTATTTTAGGTCTCCTGAGTTTATATCAAGCAATAACCATTTATCTTCCATATGAAGTGGCTTCATTCTCGCGTTGTCCTCCAAATGGATCATTCGAAATCTCGTCAACAGGCTACTATGACGATTCCAAATTCTGTAATGTCTACCACAAATGTAATTGCACAAGAACGGAATGCCAAATTATTGAATCGCATGTTTGCCCAATTGCAAAAGTTTATTCGAAAGATAAAGCAGCGTGTGTAGGTTAGTAGCACCAATTTCATTCTGGATTTTTTTCATCATAAAATGTTTATCATATTTTGTTGCAGATATTGAACAAGAAGGATGTGAAACAACATATGTTCAATGGGTTCAGACTCACAGTAGCACTGATCCAAATTCAGGTGTTGCCTATATGGTCTCCGATAGTCTTCAGCCGTCAACATCTACCAAACATTTTGAATGCCAACCAGGTGCACAAGGCCGTTTCGTTGATCCAAATATTTGCAATATTTTTCATGTATGTATCCAACGAAACTCACAAACTGTTGACCAACCGTTCATGTGTCCTTATCCAACAATATTTAAAACTCTAACACCTGATAAAATGTATTGTGCTCGACCGGAACCCTATGATTGTAAAGGCAAAGCTTTTTATCGTGGAATAGAAACAAATGATGTAATGGGTAAAGCAGTTGTTGATGATTCACTATCCTATCGTTTACCAGAGAATACGTTGATCATTGAAAATTGCACAAAGAATGGTTTATATGCCGATAGTTTCTATTGTAATGGGTACCATAAGTGTATTAATGGACAAGATCAACAGTATCTATGTGAAAATCAACTGCTATTTAATCCGATATCAAATGTTTGTGATTATCCAATTAATGTCGATTGTGGAGGTAAAAAAGTGAAATAAAGTTACTCCCAAATCTACTTTTTCTATATGGTGTACGATTTTTTTCAGGCAAATCATTATTACGTCGCCCAGTGGGCTTTCCTAATGGCACACTGGTGAATTCCTCCTATATTATGGTATTTGGGAGTGAATTGCGTCCAGAATGTCCGAACAGAATTCAAAATGTTCTTGTATCAGATGTCAAGTATTGTAATGTATTCTACCATTGTCAAAGCGGTCAAGGCTCAGTGTACATGTGTAAGGATGGTCATGCATTTGAAATTCACAATGAACAAACCAGAGAAGAGGGAATTGGCTCATGCCGTCTCGAAGAAACGGTCGATTGTGAAAATCGTCTTATTCTAACATCAAATGGAAAACGTCAACCAAAACGAACTATCATTAATAAAAATCAATTCAATTCAGTACCATTGATAAATACTGGTGATGATTTGAATTATCAGTCGACAAAATCATCAAAAACACTTCGTTCAAAATATTCGAATTTTATTCTGTTACCACCAACATTGAATCAAAAAGTTGTGGTAAATGTTCAGTTTGATTGTAAAGGACGAATTGATGGTCACTGGAGAGATACACGATATTGTGATATTTTTCATGCATGTATTGCCGGAGAACAACGCCGATCTTATGGTTGTAATCAAATTGGAGAACGATTTTACTTTGATGATGTTACGCAAAAGTAAGTTTTTTTCGCACTGATATGTTTGTTTTCTTTAAATATTTAAAACTTACTTAGATGTGAATTTGCATCTCAAAATTCAAATGGTTGTCAAGCAAATCAATATTATGGTCCAATTGAAGAACCACCATCTATTCCCGGTTCTTCTCTTAGTACATCGGCACCAACTGAACCCTGGAAAATATTTATACAATCACGAGAACAATTTACCTGTTCAGGTCAGTTAACTCACCTGTTTGTAAAGTCCTATTTAAGTTCTAATGTTTCTCTAGGAAAACAAGACGGATTCTACGCTAGTCGTTGGTGTAATGCTTTTTATCGATGTTTCACTGGGATATCTAGTGCCTTCTTGTGTCCAAAAATGCCGAGCGGTTCCCGTTTATGGTGGGTTCAGCATGGTAGCCCCCAAGGTATTCCACAAGAAACTGCTTCGTGCACATGGCCGTGTGAAACAAGCAGAAGATGTACAAGTTCAGGTGGAATCATTGTTGATAGCGGAAATGCCGTAAGTGAAAGTCAACAAGAAGCTGATTCCGTTTTCCAATCATCGTTGTGCACAACAGCTGGCTCATCATCGGGAGTGACCGGGATGGGTGCAACACAACCACCGTTCAACGCAGGTTCAGGATCAGTTGGTACTGGCGGATCGCTAGGATCCGGTCACAGTTTCAATCCGGGTACATCAGGAATTGGAAGTGGAACTTTTAATCCGAGTGCGGGATCTTCTGCCACAAATTTGGGATCTGGGAATGGTTTTCAGACAGGAGTTAGTGGATCCGGCTCAATGACAGGCACAAGCTCTCAATCATCGGGACCTGGTGGTGCGCCTGTAGGAGGTGAGAACTTTTTTTTTATCGTTAGTCAGAATAATATAACTAAAACTATCTAATTCATCGAACGTACTATTTATGTTAGTTTCACATCTTGATCTTAACGTGAAAATACACGTTTTTTTAAATTTAACTCTCTTACTTTTAGCAACATTTACTGTTGACAGTGACGTCTCGTGTATTGGTCAAGCGGATGGTGCATTCTTGTCCAGTCGTTATTGCAATGTATTTCATCGTTGTGTCAGTGGTACACGCCGAGATTTTCGATGTCCGAGAGCCACCAACACTCCCTATGATCTATGGTGGAATCAACAAACACAACTTTGTGACTGGCCATGCCGAATACCATGTCAAGTGCAAATATACGGCACACAAGGAGCGAGTACTCAACAAATTCGTCAAGAAGATTCCATTTTAAATCGAAACGAATGTACCGGATATCAAGTACAAACAGCTGCTACATCCTCCTCAGTAAATCTCAATCAAATTCTCGGTGGACAAGCGATGGTCTATTCAGCACAAACTCAAACATCAAGACCCATTGAAAATCCCGATTTGAATTTTGTTTGTAATCAACCGGGAAAATATGCATCGCGAAGATTCTGCAATGTTTATCATGAATGTCTTGATAGTGGTATACCACCAAGTCAATCATACGAATGTTTGAATTCGTTTTTTGATCGTAGTCAAGGTATTTGTACAGCAAAAGATCAAGTACCGTGTATGGGTGGCATTTTTCCTTATGATTCAATACCCATTGATAAAAATCCAGACACAATTACTTGTTCAACCCAAAGTGGTTTCTACATTCATAGTTCAAGACAGTTCTGTAACATCTACTATGTTTGTGATGGTATTGTCGCTTCACCCACCACATTTCGATGTTATGACCGACAAACTGGACAAGAAGGAATATTCGATCCATTTGCTGAACGATGTGATTCACGAAAAAATTCGAATTGTCAAAATTCCATTCTCAATTTTGGTCAACAACAACAATATAAATCGATTGCAATCGATTATCAACGAACAGAAAATATTCAACCATTGCCGTGTAAACCTGATCAACAATATCTTGTTGAACATGAACAATATTGTAATCTATATCATTCATGTAAACAAGGTAAATGCTACGTTGCTTAAAGATTTTAATCTAACTATACAAATTCAGATTGTAGGTCAGGATAACTTAATATTTAACTATCTTTCAGGTGATTATCGTATCTATGCATGTATATCAACATCATCGGAACCATCTCAAGATCAAACGTCATATTTCTATCAGTCAAATGGTCAATGTGCAGCACCTGTCTCTGCCATATGTCCAAAAACAAAATCTGTCTATGCTTACTCTCGTCTTCTACCCACAACAGAATCTCAACCACTTCTCATGTTAAACGATCAACAACATAACTACGGATCAATTCCCATTCAAGAACGGGTTAAACCACAACCACTATGTAAATTACATGAAAATTACATTATTGGACATGAACACTACTGTAATTTGTTCTATGGATGTAAAGATGGTGAATTAATATTATATGCTTGTATCGATAGATTAACAGGTATCAAACAAAACAATAAGTAATCAATAGCATTTTACAAACTAGTCTTGTTCTTTTAGGCACATATGGTGGCATATTTCAATCATCCACTGGTAACTGTATTACTCCGAGCCAACAAGAATGTCCAACAAATGAATATTTTCAACCAAATGAATCCACCGATTCTAAGGTTTCACCAAACGAAAATGATATTATTCCAACATTAACTACTCGTCGTCCAAATAGTGTGGCATTCATGTCGTATACAATGTTAGAACCAAATAATCTTACATCACGTCTTAACTCTTCTTCAGTAAAATCTCAATTTTATGGTGTTCAATCACTGTTTTCATGTAAAAATCGTCAAGATGGATATTATGAATCAGAATGGTGTAATATATTTTATCGATGTTTCAATGGTAAACGAATGGATGAACGATGTCCACAAGGACAAACAAATCTTCAATTAGGTCAACCACAATATGATCTTTGGTGGACACATCAAAACCAAGAATATAATCATACTCATCCACATTATTTTGGCGGAAGAGATTATATGGTTAGATGTGAATGGCCATGTAAAATACAATGTAAAAAACCGATATGGGTACCGAATGATCATCAATATCCTGTGGGCGCTGATCTTGTCAAACGTCAAGATCAGGAATTGAGACCGGGTTGTTCAACATCTCATTCAACATTTAGTGGACGAAAAATGCGTGGTGAAGGTATGATTATGTATTCTGACATTCCAAATCCAACAAATTTTTCTGCCTGTCCACAAACTAATCAACGTCAACGTGTGGCTGATTTGAAATATTGTAATATATTTCATGAATGTACTAATAGCAAAGTGACAGGATCTTTCTTGTGTATCGAATCACAATTTGATCAAACAATAAAAGATTGTGTTACATTTACAAATTACTGTCCAGTGGATAAACGATATTCATATTCGAGAAATCGTTTAGCAGCTCAACAAGGAACATATTATGAAGCAGTTGAAGTCCGAAGTGTTAATCCAAGTGGTTATGAATGCATAACAGTAAGCAAAATTTACATTAAATACAAACTTGTATACTGATTTTCATTTTATATTGTCCTAGGATGGTATTCATACGGATCCAATGTTTTGTAATTTATTTCATGCTTGTTCTGGTCGTACACGTCGTTCATTTCAATGTCGTCAAACGGGTACCGATGGTATTAATGACGGTGTATCTACATTCGATTTATTAACAAAAAGTTGTTCAAAATTTTCTCCTCAATCGTGTCAAACTCTCTTATACAATCAAGAATTTGTTATTATTCCTGTCATGTTCAAACCACCAAGTGTCTCACCATGTGGAAAAGAAGGCTTTTTCTCAGTTGCTGATAACATGATGGCACCGCAATATTGTAATATGTTTGCATGGTGCCCGAAAGGACATGGTGAAGCTAAAGTATTCGAATGTGTACCGTCATTGCCGGGTGCTCATACAGGTGCATTTGATTTATCACGTCGTTCTTGTAGTTCAAAAGCCACATGTCCAAAAGCACGTCTAGCTTCGCCTCACAATACATCATTGTTAGCGCTCACCTTACGTCCGAAAGTAGTAACGATTGGTACGCGTAAACAGTTTTCATTAACAAGTACAATGGTTGAAAATGGTTACATTGCATTAGGCACAGATTTTCAAACAGCTTTTTCATGTCCACCAGGCTATACGGGTTTCTATTCAAACCCAAATTTTTGTGATGTTTTTCATTATTGTTATGAAACTGGGGAATTGTCATCTTTTGTATGTGCATCAATGCCAAACAGATATCAATTATGGTGGAGCCATCAAAATGAAAATCCAAGATCAGATGTAAGTATTAATACATTCTGCTGCATTTAGTTTTATTTAATGAGCTGGGCATATTTTCTCTTTAGAATGTTTTTTGCGACTGGCCGTGTAATTTACAAGGTGTTTATGCGTGTCCATCATATAAACAGATATTAATGCGTGATCGTCAACCCACTGGAAGCGTGAGTCAACGCGAAGTAGTTGAAGCTACATGCTCGTCGGCTCAGGTACCTGTCACACAAGAGACAACAATTTATACTATCTATCCAGCATTTAATGGCAACGGACAACAAGGACAAAATGATCAGGGAGGTCCAACAACATTCTATCAGCCATCACCAGCAGGTCAGTTTTACATACGACTAAACTTCGAAGGAATATCATTTCAAGTTGGTTTTTATTAAACAACTGTTAGAGTGAATGTACCTTTCAAAAATGCTTCTATTTATTTAGGTATGAGTTCTGGTCAGTTAGGTTATCAACAGTGTGCTCCTTCGAATGAATGGTATGTCAGTCAACAAATGATTCGATGTAGTTCATCCTTTGCTGCCACTGGCTATGCTCCTGATCCAAAAGATTGTTCTAAATATTATCAATGTGATCAATCAATTGGTCAAGATGGAATGTCAACAGGTATGTTAAATACTTTTCATTTTCTTTTCACCTTGGTCATATGCACTTTACAATAAGTACTAAAAATAAATATTACGTGTAGAAATGAATATTGCACATTCTTTTAATCCGTTGAACGATGGTAGAAATATTTAACGTTTTTATGTGAAAGAAAAAACGTGATCAACTTCCTTTTGTTCTTCCAATTATATGACATGTCGTACACAAGATTGTTTCAGTTTAATCAAGTAGTTCTATAAAGTCATCATATTGTCAAACACGCGCTGCTGTTGTTTTTCTATACCTAGTTTTGTTTAATATAACACATATTTAACAAATATATTACTCATTTAAAGGATATATTATGATATTTAACAATGTCTGTCAGAGTTACAGCTTAAAATATTTGTTGTCATTAGAGATTAAGAGCAAAGACGAATGAAACAAACAGAGTAAAACACATGAAAAACTGTTATAAAGAGAAAGACACACACGAACATCTTCTATAATTGACTGACACTGTACTTTTGAATTGAACGTGACTTTCGATCGCAAATATAAGCTTAGTCCTTCATCATAGCATTAACAACTTTTTGAATGTTTTATCAGGAGAAACTGATTATACTCAAAAAAACTTCACATTGTAGTATAAGGAATTATCTTGGAAACAAGTATAAGTTCTAACACTAAGTTAATCGTGCCGACAATTTATTGCTAAATTATTGCTGTGATTCTCTTAGGAATATTAATGCAATGTATTGCTGGTCTTTGGTGGGATCAACAACGTCGAAGTTGTGTATTACCATCTGAGGTCGCTTGTAATCCATTTAATATAATTAATTCACAAGGACAAGCAATGGATGGTAAGAGCTCTTTTAGTCTATATATGAGTCAGTTATATATTGAATTCTTTTTCTCTGTGTAGTTGGTGGTTATCCATCACAGACACAGCCTCAGCCTCAGCAGCCATCCGTTTATCCAACTGTTGGAATTACAACACCATTTGTTTATCAACCACAAACTCCGGTTCAAGTACAAGGTATTGTAACGGCAATCTGCTTTGTATTCGGTTTTTCTAATTCATTTATTTTATTCTTACAATCAGGATCACAAACAGCTCCTTGTCGAGGTGGACCACTCTGTATTGACGTTGGACTTAATATTCTTCAACAAATGAAAGCTATACCAGGCAGACCAGGATGGTTGTAAGTATACTATAATTCATAATGTTAGTCAATTCTACTTTGATAACATCATCTTCAATTTTAGTTACAAATGTGATAGTCAATGTGCATTAGAAATGCGTTGTCCACCAGGTCTGATTTTTGATGATTTATATCAACGATGTGAATGGCCGTCGTCTCCACAACAGCAAAATGTTTTAGGCAGCTTGAGAGATAAAAAGGACACCAATGATAAAATTCAACATGAGACATCAAAAGATAAAGCATCACAACTACACGTTTATCCAACAACAGTAATAAAATCAAAACAACAAAACAACAAAGCAACAAAACGTTTAATTCTCAATCAAAATAATTTATCATCAACTCCAACACCATCAACTAACACCACCACCAACACTACTACTACTACAGATACTAGCACTACTACCTCTTCTAAAGAAGTTAAGTCTAAAAGCAAAATAATGGAACCATAAACTCGATAACGTGTATAACACACATTTGTTTTTATTTTGTTTTGTCTAATATGTTATGCTGTAATACAGCTTAAAATAAAATTTATAATTATTCCATTTTCACCTGAACAGTGCGTGAAATATTTGTTAACCATTGAGCAGAACATTTTTTCAATTTTCGTTCATTACTGGTGTTTTTTTTTATTCAATTTGTTCTTCTTTTCTCTTTTCCTTTTTCAACTGTTGTATATATAGAGTTTCTTCTTCTTTTACATAGACAGATGAGAATGATATTTAAAAAAGTGCAGTCACTTTTCTTTTAAAATAAAATTATTCTAATAAATTCAACACTGCTATAGAACAAAAATATCAAGTATATTAGAAGATAATGATTTCTGTATCAAGAAATTTTCTTTCTTGCTGGTGATAATGGCAACGATTAAGTAAGGTAATTTGATTTAGATTCTGACATAAAAGTGTGCTATTTTCCGCAACATATGTGACTAACAATACCATCATCGAGAATAAAAGATAATGGTATTCGTTTGTTGCCATCTAACTCAACAAGAAACATTGCTATTTATTCATGTGTTTGATCAAGAAATGGTTCTATGAAGCATAATGTTCAAAAATTTGCAGGTTTTAGATCTTCTTATTGATTGTTGTTCTCTATAATATTTCATTTCATATTTGGCATTTACAGTGTATGATCAATATGGTATTCCTTGATCCGTTGATATTCTTGAACTATGTGGCTTCTATGTAACTTTGATGATTGAAATTTTGCGCATTTCGATTCTGGCTTAAAAGTGCCCATTCTTAACTATAGAACTACAATTCTTTTTAATTATATTATGTAAGACGACGTGGTAAACGCGTCATTCATTTTTTCAAATTGACCTTTTCCTGTACATGATGATAGTAATCTTAACTTTAAAAAAAACCAGTGAAAGAATATGTGAAATTTATTATTGGCTTAGTTAACAATTAAATTGAATTATTGACATTTTTAATCGGATATATATGATAGATATACCGTCTTTACACTAGGTGAGAGAAAGCCGATTAAACCTCAACACTGATTTAATTTGTTTCTTTATCACACTCTTTCTCTCTTTCTCTCTCTCTCTCTCTATATATATATACTGTCGTCTGCTGATCTATAGACGGTGTGATCATATAGTACAATAAACAGCGCTGCACAGTACAGTATTCATACTTAAGGATTTCAAAGAGTCAAACTATTATGATCGATTCATCTGCAGAACAAAAAATCTTGTTTTAGCATGAGTTACGGTTCTCGTCCAAGATTTATACTTACTAAGTATTATAAAGTTATCTTTGATTTCTTTTTCAACTCATTGATGCAACGCCTGTTTCTCCTATTCAATCAGCTTCCAGACAAACCTACATCAGAAAATATTCAATTAAGGCAGATCTTTCAACCTCTATACAATTTGAAAAGATTGCCCATTCATACTCTTTCTGCAAAGTAAAGCAAGTTGTATACCCATACAAGATGAGTCACACGCATGCATTTTTCTACGTACGCCTTCAGGAACAAATATTGAACGACAATAATTCTAGCTCCGTAAAATCTTCTATTCCAAATAAATGTGTAGGAAACCAAAGCTCATTGTTGCAGCCGCGTAATAAATCAAAACTTTTTCTATATCACTATTAACGTTTAACAACTTCATAAATTTTCCTCTTCTGACACAAGAAACGTACTTTCAGTAAGCTCGAAGTTGATTTAAAGTTGTTTTTTTTTAGAATACAAAGTGGAATAGATCCAACATTCTAAAACCTAAACTACCAAAAAACATGCAAACCATTCCACATTTGATTGACGGTACTCAATTACTACATCATACGCATTTTATTCTAACCTATCAGCTATCGCTTTCTTTCTTTTGCTTACATCTTTGATTTTTCCTCCGGTGCCTCAGGGTTCGGTTCGCTCATCCGAATAAAAAGTGAAAACTGCCTTCAAGTATCAATAATATCACTACTAAAAATGTGTTATTTTACAGTTATCTGACTTTCTTGCGAATCAATAGCTATCAAACCGATATGTTGATAGAATCCACTATCTCATCTATCAGCACGATTTTTTAGCTATTTATTGGAACTTATGCTATTACTAATAATCAATCTGCTTAACCTATGTTTCAGGACGACTTTAGAAAAGTCAAACTACTTCGTTGACGGATGCTATTTAACTTTTTTTTGTGATGCCAAACGTTTCTGAATAAAAATAATCAAAGAAGGATCTAGTGCGCGTCATTTATACGTATTTATTGAATATGTAGAACGTTTTAAGACCTGGACAGTTCCATTCTTCACTAAACAATGGATTTAACAAAAACGATCAGTATAACAGCGTCCAATCACTGCGATTGTTCTGGTGTTATTATTGCTCGATAACTTAATTTATCTCCTATCAAGATCGTCAAACAGATCACTGTCATTTGTGTTTAATGAAATATTTCTCCAATGGTTAAAATTTAATACCTTATACAAAATCGTTGGAGAACTTTCTGAAATGTTACAAAAACTGTTACAAAAACACCAGTTTTTGTAAACAAACAACCCTTTTCTTTTTACCAACTACAATAAGCAAAATAGACATCACATCTAAATTCTCTCATTTACATAGCATGAATTAGATTGCACAATGCATATTACGACGTTATTTTTTGACTAGTATTGTTAACATATTACTTTATTATTGAATGATTATATCGGTAAACTTTATTGTTTGACTCATCGTCTCATTTGAGCGTTGCTGTAATCATAGCGTCATTTTTTATTAAATCATGCATTAATCCATAATATTTATGATTTAATACTTGTTCAAGGTTATGTAAGATAGTATTAATACAGAAATCATTATCTTCTAATATACTTGATATTTTTGTTCTATAGCAGTGTTGAATTTATTAGAATAATTTTATTTTAAAAGAAAAGTGACTGCACTTTTTTAAATATCATTCTCATCTGTCTATGTAAAAGAAGAAGAAACTCTATATATACAACAGTTGAAAAGGGAAAAGAGAAAAGAAGAACAAATTGAATAAAAAAAAACACCAGTAATGAACGAAAATTGAAAAAATATTCTGCTCAATGGTTAACAAAAATTGAAAAAATATTCTGCTCAATGGTTAACAAATATTTCACGCACTGTTCAGGTGAAAATGAAATAATTATAAATTTTATTTTAAGCGCAACATATTAGACAAAACACAATAAAGACAAATGTGTGTTATACACATTATCGAGTTTATGGTTCCATTATTTTGCTTTTCGATTTAACTTCTAACAAAAATTCCTTTCCTTTTTACCAACTACAATAGCAAAATAGACGTCAATAAATTCTCTCATTTACATAGCATGGATTAGATTGCACAATGCATGTTACGACGTTATTTTTTGACCAGAATTGTTAACATATTACTTTATTATTGAACGACTATATCGGTAGCCTTTATTGTATGACTCAACGTCTCATTCGAAGCGTTGCTGTAGTTCGTAGCGGCATTTTTGATTAAGCCATACATTGATCCATAGTATTCATGATTTAATACTTGCCCAAGATTATCTGCATTCATTAGACCGAAAACACATGAAGATTCAAACAACAAATGATTAATACCACGAATTATGCGGAAAAAGCCATTTTCACCCCAATAACTACCTTGTAAAAACAAATTAAATAACAAATAGAAAAGCAATAATATAATTCATTCTTACCCCAACTATTGCGTACTTTCCAATATTTTGTGCCATTTTTCTCGATGCCCCAGCCAACAACTAAATTATTCAACACAAATATACAATGGAGCCTTACAAAAAGATTATCTATTCACCGTAGAAAAATAAAATCCAATAGGTTCAATTTACATGTTTTCTACAAGACTTTCGAGGATGCAATAACACCTAAATACCTTGATCAAAATCGTCAATGTCTTTAACCTACCTTCGACAACATGATTTAAATCCTTGGATGTTAAGGTGTTGTTTATTCCGGTAGATGCGGTATAAACGCCATACTTGTAATTGTAATCAAAATCTAGGGTGCTATAAAATCCACATGAAATTGGTCCACGTTTATATATTTCACTCATCATTTGAATCTCTCCGGATAGTTGCCCGTAACTTTGAACAAAAAACAGAATGGGATTTTTGACTGGCCAGCACCGAAGTGTGCCATTCTCAACGGGTAAACAATTTTGACATATAGTTTCATCATTACACGTCGGACTTGATTCCGCCACATAATTCTGGCATGTCTCATCGGGTAAACCGTATCTGTACATGTATTCTAAAACTTGATATGCCTTTCCACCATAACATCCATTTCCCAGACCACGTGCCTTACCACAATTTAAAAAAACTTGTCTCCCTAATAATATATCCTGTAAACCGTTAAATTGTATTTTTAGTCGATCGTTCAATGCCGCTAATGTTCCATGTAAATAACATGAACCACAGTACTTCGGGATATGTTGATTCCACGATGCTGTACAAAACGATTTACCATTGACATTACACCAATCCCAATCCCGTGGTAGTTCGTCTAATGATTTGGCTCTTTCTACTGGGGTTGCTGTTGCGCCCCAATAATTTGTGAAGGATCGTTTTGAACGATGTATGGGTAGTTCTGTACTATGATGAAACCACGTGAACAAGAAGAGAGCGTATAGGAACAACATATGTATAAGCGATGAGAGAGATGAAACTATGGTTTGTTGTATGAACTACTATTGTTGGATGATGAATCAAATCACTTACAGCATTCTGAATTTGATGAACAATACTAATATAATACTAACCAGTCACCGCAATTTGTACACGGTAACAAAAAAGGCATCCCAAAAGGTGCACACTAGAAAACGTCCATGTAAAAGCATAGTAAAAAAAGCGTCAACAATAATAATATAATTCCACAAAAACTCATCCAAATAGAAGCTAAGCGTTAAGTGATAAGCATAGTATTTAAGTGCGTACTGCATAGATGAATCATTTCACTGCACTACCTTATCTAAGATACGATTGATTTCTGGCGATATTGGATCGGCCCAATACAGTAGGCCAGGCGTGCTTCCAAAGTATACCATGTCTTTTCCTGCTGAAAAATTAAAACGGTTTAGTTTGTTGACAACTGTTTAAACTCTCTTTACTACGAAACATTTTTAAACCTTTTTTAAAAGTTTCGTAGTGAGCACTAAACTCTAAAAGGCTTCCTACTCGAAAGAAGCTTTTGTACTGGATTACGGAACCCTGCATAGTTCCGCACAAACCCATATCAATTTTAGAGCCGAAAATAGTGAATTTTATGAATCCAGCTTCTGTGAGGCTCCTAGCTAGAAAATGGCTGACTTCGGAGAATGTTCACATAACAGGTTGTTAACGACCCATAATTGTGCACTAACCGTCTTAAAACGAACATCGTAAAATACCCATTTTTTAATCATCTTTTGGTCATCAAAACGTTCCCAGTTTGGATGCATAAAAATCCATTTGGATCATTTTACGTAACGGTTGCCTTTTATGTCTAAGTTTTGAAAAGATGGTGTTTTCATTTGAATTTTTCTCCTACTGATTGCAATAGTTTTTAGGTTTTAAGTACATGAATAAGCACAGAAAAAATCGAATTGCGAAAACATGGTTATTTGTGTGCATGATTCCGTAACGAATTAGCTGAGTTTTTGATAACTTCAAATTACATCGGAATCACTGTTCCGTTTTTGGTTATTCCGTGGCCGTCAATATTTTTCTTATAAAACTTGAACCGTATATTCAAAATTAATCGAACTCTTAAAGAGGTTGTTGAGCATGTGATTAGGCAAATTTGATAAAAATTTAAGCTTCTTTTAAGGTGACGAAGAAATTACAGGAAGGAGTGGAAAAAACGTGATTCTGTTACAATTATTTTGATCGAGCATATGCCAGTAGATAGATAGATCATATAGATATTAACAAAAGCAGTCAAGCAGTCTTTCTATAACGTGGTCCTTCGTGAAAATTTAGCCATCGTATACAGTACCCATATCTTCAATGCTGTTTAAATTCGGCGATTATCGCGCTTTTGTAAAGAGGCTGAAGTCACCGTTTAATCGCATTATGTCGGCGACTATTTTGTATATCGAGGTTAAATGTTGATTATTTTGCAAGTCACGATTTCTTAAAACATCGCTGACTAATCGCGATTAGTTGACAATTTTTGGTTTTCTAGTCATTCACTGTTTTATTTTGCAGCTGACCAAGTGTATATTAAATACTGATTTCGACAATAATTGTGTCTTTTTTCGGTTTAATCTTTTCTTTTAGATTAATGTTTTTGGGAGACGCGGAGTATTCCTCGTGATCTCCTCACAGCTGACTCGTTCTTTTGATAAGGATCAGTTTTTGAATCGAGGGCTCCGATGAACAACTGGAGTTTTGAGCAGTGGCTCAAATCAATTAATCGGACGTGAGAAACTATCAGAACAATCGAACGCCAATCAAGGAAAGTGTATGAATTTCCATTGTTTAACATTCAACACCCACTTTAGCAGATAAAAACTCTTATTCTAGTAGATGACTGCAGTCATCTACTAGAATAAGAGTTTTGATCTGCTAGAGTGGTTGTCAGTGTTAAACAATGGAAATTCATCCACTTTCCTTGAAGTACAATACAGAAAAGTGGACGGCATAGTCACTCACTTTTCTCATATCAAGTTTTACAGTGAAGTCACGTAAAACTCGCCGATTTTTAAGCGGTTAATACCAGATGGGTAGGGTTTTGGCCACCAGCATTATCATTCAAATTACTCTCTTGTGAAATGCATGACAGTGTCCAACCCAGGTGGTTTGTTACGGTTATCGTATACGGCGTCTTTACGGCCGTAAATGATTAAATACGGGCCGTTTACGCACCGTATTTTACCGTAAACCAGGCCGGTGTTTTACGACCGTATTTACGCCGTACCGTATACGGTGTGTTTACGGCTTAAATAAGATCATCATATATGGCGTATATGCATTGTAAATGACCGTAAACATACCGTATTTCTACCGTATATACGCGCTTCACGGTCTGGAATTATACGAAAGCCCAGGTCGTCGAAAACGGTATCGTCAACGGGCCATTTTTGCACCGTTTTTAGGCCTTTTTCAGGACATATTTCAAATTTCATTATTTTTGGTCATGAACTGAAAACTATTATGTTCTGAATTTTTTTCAATTTTTTGGATTCCTTAGAACCATGATTTACCAGTCTCAGGAGTATGGTACTATGACTAATACAGGTCCGTCAACTAAGGCTACTCCCTCCAGACAAGCTTCGATGACTTATATACTAGAGGAAGAAAAAAATTTCTAAGTTATAAATTCGATATATATATATATTCGAAGAAAATCAGCGTTCCATTTATACAAGTAGCGGAAGCGAAATAAAAGAGGGGAATGGCTTGTCGACAAGACGGCCTAAAAACGGTCAGTTTACGGTATAGACCATATACTATTTTTACCATGGAACGGCTCACGAGGATATTGAAACATAAAGAGCTTCATGGTACCAGACACTGTCAAACGAGACTATCGACTGTATATCATTTCATGGTATCTAACTATTGATTAAAAGTACAAGTCTGATACGGCGCGTATACTGCGCATTTACGTAGCACTGTAAACGAGCACCGTATACGGCACCGTATTATACCGTAATTGAACCGTAATACGGTCACCGTTTCCAGGTCGAAAATCACCGTAATTTAGCCGAATACGGCCGTTTACGTACCGTATTATTCGAGCTGGGAACTTGAAATTTTTCTGGCTTTTTCATCATATGCTGTAATTAACAAAAATCATTTCCAAAGATTATATTAGAAAACAATCAAATAGATGCCGTACTTGTCAATGTTAGATATCTAAATCCAAATACAAGCACAAGTATCTAAGGCGAATTGTCACTTTTTCTGACAAGATGAGAAAGGTACAGAAAAAACAAGCGCGTTATCCAAAAGAGTCCGTAACTGTTAGCTTGACCAAGTCCACTTTCTTGCTTGATTGACGGCACGAGCACGGATCGCGCAATTCACGCCGTGATCGCTAAGAAGTCGCTATTGTCGCGGCGCGTTCGCACCAACTCTTATCTTATAAAAAACTCGTAATTCGCTATCGCGACGCGACAATAGCAGCTTTTTAGCGATCACGATGCGACTCGCGATCCAAGCGCGATCACTGTAAGAAAATATTGTCACATAGCGATCGTATTTTTCTCTTACGATCGCGACATGATACAGCGACGCCGCGCGTCTCCCGTGCACATCCTATTCACCGTTTTGTTTTACTTACGCGCCTGATATATAACTCTTACTGATTTTTCGAAAAATTTTCAAAATCTTATCACATCTTAATAATAGCTTACGACATGACTGATATATGGTCTTGCACAGTCGCGTTGCGCGTACGGCATTCGTCTGCGTTCGCGGTAAAAGTAGTGTGACTCATTTTACTGATATTAGACGAAAACGCGAATAAATATTAACTATAGCAAAATACTCGAGAGTCGTTGGGTTTTGTATGAGCGCGAAAAGATAGTGATCGCTAAAAATCGCGTCTTATTTCGCGGCGGGATCGCGTTACGTGATCCTGCTGCGAATTTTTTAAGCGACTCTCACCGTGGCATGCGATAAGACAGTGGACTTGGGTGTCGCATAGTTTCTACTCTCATCTAAAAAGCCATTAGTAGTCTGAATCAATTTGACCCCAAAACATACTTTGAGTATAAAGGTCTGGAAAACTACTTCATGAATACACAGTCGCATTATATCATATCGGATAGTAAATGTAAGTTCTCTTTTCGAAATATGTTATGTGATTAATATAGAGAAACATGAAAGAGTTTTCCAGACGTTATCGTCAAATCTCAAATTCAAAATGGAGAAAGTTGAAGCAGTACAGCTTTTTAAAGAGAAACTTTTTCACGGTTATTCTATCTTTCCATTTTTTATTACCTTCCGTTTTCAGTTTTTATACGGTTAGCGACAAAAAGACGGTCCGATTAAGGTATATTAACTGGCTGTTTATTATCGAATCAGTTACCTGTTTATTTGATCGCGAATATATACGAAGCTTCAGAACATTTTCTCTCTCCTGGACAATCAAGTAGTCGACACTTGGTTTGAAAAAGATGTCCTTGGTACTAGTGAGAGTATTATAACACTAGGGTCAGAGAGCTGGGCAAGTCTAAGTGAACAAGTCTAAGTAAACTCGTAGCCAAAGTCGATAAAGTGACAATTCGCCGTAGATACTTGTGCTTGTATTTGGATTTAGATATCTAACATTGACAAGTACGGCATCTATTTAATTGTTTTCTAATATAATCTTTGGAAATGATTTTTGTTAATTACAGTGTATGATGAAAAAGCCAGAAAAATTTCAAGTTGGACACTGTCATGCATTTCACAAGAGAGTAATTTAAATGATAGTGCTGGTGGCCTAAATCCTATTGCTTACGATGGCTAAATTTTCACGAAGGACCACGTTTTGGAAAGAGTTTCTTGACTGCTTTTGTTATTATCTATATGATCAAGCTGTCTTCTGGCATGTGCTATGATTCATTGAGCATAAAAACTACTTAGACAAGCAATAGAGATATGTGGCTATTTATCGTTAGACCAAGTCATTGAATTTTCCAGGCCATATAACACTGTATTTTTGTAAGTAATTAAATATATCGTATAGCTTCATCAATAAACATGATTTTATGACGAATTAGAACTAAACATGGTCTAGTATATATGACGGATTGCGTTTCAAACCTGGTTTTGCGTCGCTTTGTTGTATGGCAGCGTTTCTAATGCCGATTGGTTTACTAAGGGAGAGTAAAATGGGTTTTCACTTTGACATAATATGCAATGATTAATTCTTTTTTATTTCGTGTTTTATGTCTCTCTCTTTCCTTTCTAAGATTCTGTTTGTATCCTCCATAAGGGCCAACGCAACCGATTCAAGTCATGAAACTGAGAGGATTGAAAAAACTACAGTGAAAATTTTTTCTTTAAAAGGTTGTTATATTTCAACTGTTTCCATTTTGGATTTCACATCAGAGGGAAATTTCCGCTGTTAAAAAAATTCCCATTAGAAACGATGCTTTCTTGTTGATATATATACTTAATTTGAGATTAAAATGTTATTTTAGCTTTACTTGCTCTTGATTTTTTCTTTCTTCTAGTGAGTGTAAAGAAGTAGAAGACGTCTAGTTGTAGCGTTTGTTTTACGCTAACAAATATCAGACTGATCAATGATCTCTACATTAGTAGTTTTCATTTTGTCCTCGTGGGTGATTTTAAATCACGTTTACATGCACATCTGATCACATCCTAATTTTGTTTTATTTTTGTACACGAATGAAATTTACAAGAAACCAGATTTGCTTATGATTAGATGTACATGCGTATGTGGTTTTAAGAATCTTATTTTTAGATAATTAACATCTGTTTACATCAGAAAGGCGCATTATATCATGTCGGATAATAAATGTAAGTTCTCTTTTCAAAAAATGTGATTAATATAGAGGCACATGAAATAGTTTTCTTTATACTCAACTCAAAGTATGTTTTGGGGTCAAATTGATTCAGACTACTGATGGCTTTTTAGATGAGCGTAGAAACTATGCGACAAGCTAACAGTTGACATAGACGCTTTTGGATAACGCGCTTACTTTTTCTGTACTTTTCTCATCGAGTTTTATACCAGATTTTAAACCATGTTCTGCTCTATCGATTACCGTATGTAGATTTTGTATAACATGCCTGGATAGTAGTAAAGAAGATTTCAATAGATACCACCAAAAAAGACTTCGAACAAGTAAGAAGTTAAAATCACTACGGATTCTCGTTGACTTATTAATTTCGTAACATACTATACATCAAACAGTTCAGAAAATTTAGGCCTATTTTCTATACTGAAAAGAACTTTTTTTTTGACGATATCTATCCAAATCTTCTTTACTACCAGCCAGACAAGTTATACAAAATCTACATACACCAATCGATACAGCAGAACATGAATTAAAATCTGGTGTAAAACTCTATGAGAAAAGTATGGGTGATAACAAAAAAAAACAAGCAGACATAATTGTCTAAAAGCTTTTTGTTACTTGTTACTCTGATTCAAGGATTTGTATTTCATTTTATTCGTATCGAATTCAAAGGATGCAGATCAATTTCTAATGTTCGAAATATTAGCATAGGTCGGTGATTATCTCTTCTTAGGGAATACTGTGATTAAAATTGTTGAAGATTTTTCAACAGATATGAATGGGAACTTGGGTGACTGTTTAGCGGTTGTAATTCTATAATCTGAAGCAGGAAAATTGATTTTCTTTATCGGCGATTTGCTACTGTACAGAATTTTCTCTACTTTTTGATGTATTGGTAATTATTCTTTAAAAATTGTTTGCACTATTTTTATTTCGTTGTAGTCGCTAGTCGTACGTTTAACAATCGAAATTACAATAGTAGTAATCGAAATTCAAACAGCAATGATCAGTATAACAATCGACCATCCCACGAGAATCAATCATTCAGTCAACAGCAGCAACCAACAAAATATCCAACACATGGAATAGCAAATATAAGTGATGATTGGGATATTGACGACAAACCATCGATCACAACAACACCACGAGATAATACAAGTGGATGGTAAGTATAAAAGAACAGGACAATACAATCATCAAAGAGACGAAGCAATAGTTCAACTAATTCTTGTGCTATTGAGAAAATTATTTATTTAGGAAGAACGATTTTTCTCTACATTTTTGGAAAACTAAATAGCTTAATCATTGACAAATATTCTGCAAAATAGTTGTGTATTTCTTGTTTTCTAGGCCAACATTATTTGATTGGCATTCAACCGCCGTCGATCAACAACAAGCCGCTGCTCGTCAACTACAATCTCAGTCAGAATCTTCATCGTTTCGTTCGCCAAATCAAACAAATTCTAATTTTTCATCGTCGATGAGATCATCATCCTATCCTTGCCAATTGCAATGTCAGATTGATGTTAGTGGTGTATCACGTTTAATTGGAAAGGGTGGTTCAAATATAAAACAAGTTGAGCAAGATAATCAATGTAAAATTCAAATATCAAGCGAGAGACAATCGGCATGGGTCGATGTTACACTAAATGGAAGTACAAATCAAAATATTTATAATGCATTCGAACAAATAAAAGCAAATATTTCAAGTTTTCGTGAAAAAAATTCAGATAGTAGTCATCAACAAGAACTACCAGAATCAAAAAGTCGAAATGATTTGTCGGGATCAAGAAGAGAAGACGCGTTTAATTCGGGTAATCTAACAGTTTTGATTAGTAAAAAGTCAGGATAACTTTGATCTTCAGTGTAATTCACACTATCACCTTCCAAACAATGCTTTTCTTAGGTTTACCATCATCATTTAATCGTCGTCCATTTGAAAATGATTCTCATTCGTCTCGGGCACCTTCATCAAATGGATTTTCATTCGGTAGTAATCGTGTTAGTGGTAATTCATCATCGAATGGTTTTGATCAAAATACTAAACAGCAGTCATCTTCATCAACTTATGGTAGTCAACAAAGAGCTCAGACACGTTCATCAAATGGTTATTCGAAAAAAGCGTCGGCCCTTCCGGCTGGCGATGAAGATAATTCGGATGAAGAGGAGCAACGCGGTTCTGGATTTTCATCAGCTCCTAGAAATCCTTCAGGTATACATTTGTTAAGGTTTTCTAAGGCTATTTTCAACTTTCAAAAACACATGAAGAGAATAGATACTATCTAAAATAATTGAATACATCTCATCTACTTTTATTATTTTATTCCAGTTTCATCGCGTCCCGCTCATATGAATAAATACAATATAACATCAAATTTTACATCGTCAGCATCATCTGGACCAAAAGTTGATTGGTTAGCTATGCGAAGAATGGATACGCATAATGATATGACAAAATGGAAAGATTTTCCACCAGTTATCAAAGATTTTTACCAAGAATTAGATTATATTCGTGAGATGCCTGTTGATCAAATAGAAGAATTGAAAGCAATGAAAAATAATATTGTTGTTAATTGGTTTGATCAATCAATGAAAGAAGATTTTGAACAAAAAAATAATGTCAAATTATCGATACCTAATCCCATTTGGAAATTTGAACAAGCCTTCCATAATTTTCCAGATATTTTAAATGAAATAACAAAACAAAATTTTACAGAACCATCACCAATTCAATGCCAATCGTGGCCAATTGCATTGAAAGGACAAGATTTTATAGGAATTGCACAGGTTAGTTTCAATAACAATATTAAGTTACAAGATAGTGAATTTTTGACAATTCCATCATACACATTCTAGTTCTAAACGTTGAATTTTGTGATGTATTAGATGTTTCGACTATTTTCATTTTTGGTTTAGACTGGTACCGGTAAAACGTTAGCATTTCTTTTGCCATTATTAATTCATATTGATAATCAGCCAAGGTAATTAAATGAAAAATTGGTTTGTATTAATCTTTCGCGGTATGATTATTCTATTTATTTTAGAGCAAAAGTCGAATTTCATGGTCCGAAAGGATTAATCTTATCGCCAACACGTGAATTAGCCATTCAAATTCATCAGGAAGTTGTTAAATACAGTTATCGAGGAATAAGAAGGTAAATTTTCAAAGCACATATGAACAAGTCACAAATTTATTTTCCTCTGTACGTTTGTATTTATTTTATTTTCTAGTACCGTTATTTATGGTGGTAGTAGTCGTAAAAATCAAATAGCTGTTTGTGCTGAAGGTACGCAGAAAAAAAAGGCAATCGAACACAACATGCATTTCTTTTTACTCTCTTTCATTTTTGTTCAGGAGTTGAAATAATAATTGCTACACCTGGTCGCTTAAATGATTTAATTATGGATAATGTTATTGATGTTCGATCAGTCACATTTTTGGTATTTAAAGCGGTTTTACTTTAACTCTAACTATATTATACTTTTGTGTTTTAGGTACTTGATGAAGCCGATCGTATGTTGGATATGGGCTTTGAACCACAAATAGTCAAAATTCTAATCGATATAAGACCAGATAGACAAACAATAATGACCAGGTAAAAAATTTTAAACATGTGAGAAATATTTTGGTTTATTACAAGAAATGTTTTATTTTAGTGCTACGTGGCCAGAAGATATTCGACGAATCGCATCACGTTATATGAAAAATCCAATTCAGATTTTTATTGGTTCACTTGATTTAGCTGTAGATATTTATCTATTATTTTTATTCCTTATAATCAATTTATTTTTATCTTAGGCTGTACATAGTGTTCGTCAAGATATTGAAATTGTTAAAGATGAAGAAAAATTTGATATGGTGATTATATGATAAAAATAAAAGGAATATATTTGTTACAAATTCAATTTTTTCTTTTATTCAGCTATTAGATTTTATTGGTCGTATGGATGCTGATGATAAAGCAATTGTATTTGTAGATAGAAAAGCATCGTAAGTCACTTTGATGAAGAATAATACCTTTATTAAGAAATATTATATTTGTTTATTCGTTTTATAGTGCTGATTCAGTATCGAGTGAGTTAATTCGAAAACATGTTCCATGTCAAAGTATTCATGGTGACCGGTGAGTGACAATATTTCAGTAATAGTAGGATGGATCATCAGCACTGCAAAGGAGATTATCTATCGTAATAGTACTCTACCTTTTTATCTAACATACTTTTGTACAAAATTATGTTGCTGTTTTTAGCGAACAATGTGATCGTGAACAAGCAATTGAAGACCTAAAAGACGGAACTGTTCGAATTCTAATTGCAACTGATGTAGCATCACGTGGTCTCGATATTCAAGACATCACGTGTGTGAATCATAGTTATTCTATGAAACAAACAGTATACGATGTCATTTTGTTTTTCTATTTCTATAGAGTTGTATTTAATTATGATTTACCAAAATCTATGGAAGATTATGTTCATCGTGTTGGTCGTACTGGACGAGCAGGAAAAACTGGTTATGCTTTAACATTAGTTACAAGAGAAGATTGGAGAAATGCTGAAAAATTAATTAAAATATTAGAAGAAGCCAGACAGGTTTGTGTTATTTGGGATAGAATTAAGGACAATTTTCTTGCGAAGAAGTTTTGAGATAGTAAGCAGAAAAAGTCAGAATAGAAAGAGTACAAAGCTTTATATAAGTTTTCAAAAGTTTCGATGTATCAAATTCTTTTTATTGTTTAAAATTTTTAGGAAGTGCCACATGGACTGAGAGAAATGGCTGAACGATTTCGGTACGTAAATCCATTATTAGGATAGTTTTCATTTTTATTTTTTCCTTTTCCCCGTGTTTTTCAGTGATGCTCAAGAGAAAAAACGCGAAGAGGGACGATTTGGTGGTGGCAGTGGTGGTTCCAATTATAGAGGAGGGAACAGTGGTGGTGGTTCATTTTTTGGTCTTGGTTCATTTGGCGGACGTGGAAAAGGCAAAGTTCGTGCACCTGTTATGAATAGCGGTAAGTCTCTCATTCGTGCTTCGATTTATAATCTGTTTGTCTTTTGCTATTTGAAAGACAATTTTGAGTTGGAGACTAACATTAAGAACGAAAATGCAGCACTAACGAGAGAACTATCCCAGGTGTCTAATCGTTTTCTTCTTGAACAATACTTGATTAAGTGTAACTTCTGATGATGATCAACAATGTGATCTGCGTTTTTGCTTGTAGAGCTTTGCTCTAGGAATCAATAGAAATCCGTTTTGTGCAGAACCATCACCAACTTCCATTTTTGAAGAAATTCTGATCAGTCAGTTTGTAGAGCGTGTTGAGTTGCTTGTCTAAACAACTTTTGAAGACTAAGGAATAGGCTTTTACTGAGATATGAGAATTTTAGCAGTATGAAAACGGAGAGGTTCATTATTTTAAATAAAGTAAATAGCAGAGTTCTCATATGTCAGTAAAAGACCATTCCTTAGTCTTCAAAAATTGTTTAGTAGAGCGTAAAATTGTTTTGTAGAGTTTCTTATGCAACTCAACACGCTCTACAAACTGGCTGATCAGAATTTCTTCAAAAATGGAAGTTGGTGATGGTTCTGCACAAAACGAATTTCTATTGATTCCTAGAGCAAAGCTCTACAAGCAAACACGCAGATCACATTGTTGATCATCATCAGAAGTTACACTTAATCAAGTATTGTTCAAGAAGAAAACGATTAGACACTTGGGATAATTCTCTTGCTAGTGCACAAAGTATAACAGTCTCGTTCGGCTATTGCCAAAAAGTCCTGGAGATTGCCATACTTTCGAAGAAGAATGTAGTCGATTCTATCTCAACCATTTTTCATTTTGATTTCTCCGAAGCACATTTTCGAGTAGAAGGTATATCATACAGTTTATTACAATGTTTGATTTAAGAACTATGGAGTTGTTTCTCTCTCGTACAGCTAGTGTGCAAGTATACCGATCGATAAACGGTAAACACATTTCATTCATAGTAACTTGGAAGTAAAGCAAGAGAGAAAAAAAGGACTTTGACTTGGGATTGAATCACATGATCTCTTAAATCTGGAAAGCAAAGAAAAATAATCTATAGACTAAAACGGACGTTTGAGAGTCGACTGGTGCTAAAACAATGCTGCAGGTATTGAGCAAAGAAATCTGCTGTTTCATATACATCTTGGACTGATCCGTCGTTTTACATTAGATAATGTATTCTCTTCGCTATAATTTAAAATTCTGTTTTTAATCATTAACTTATACATTTCGTTGTACATTCTAAAGTAAGGTGACCGATTATGATTTGTGCTAGTTATCATATTTTCTTTTAATGTTTAGGTTGGTCATTTAATGGTTAAGAAATTCTTGTCAGTTATGTTCAATGTCTGATCGTTCATTTAAAGAAAAAAAATATAACTTACGAATCTTTAGCAGTAAACATATATATTCAGTTTTTGTCAGATAACAAGGTCTGGTTTTTTTAATTATCTTTTGTTTTTTTTTGTCATACACACGTACACAAAGTGTAACAGTTTCTCTCTTTCTCCCTCTACACAGTACATAAATTGTTATTGTTGATCTATTTTCTGTTGTTGTTTTTTCATTCTTCGGATTATTTTTTTTCTCTTGTTATTGCTATTCCTACAAACAGTATGTCAATGTATATATTTGTTTTATACGTTTTCATTTTTTTCCAGTGTTTGGTCACGTGTGCTAAAAGAAAAAAAAAAATTGAGATAAAAGCTATTTGAAAGTTAAGAATATTTTTTTGGTATTTTTTTTCATTGATAATTTGTTTTTCAGTTCTCATTTATGTTAATTTGTAAATGAGCATTGTTTCGATTCTGCAGATTAAAATAAAAAAAGAGAGGATCGTTCTTCAACATTAAGAGAACGGTAGTACGACATGGCGTTCAGGATATTCTTGCAACTTTTAGTGTTCGTAGAAGAAGCTGCTATTCTAAGAAAAATAGGATATCTTCTGGCTGTCTAGAACGAATTCTTTGCTCTATCACGCCATATAGTTCGCAAAATTTTGTGATCAAAAACCAAGGACTGGGTTTTCTAGCGGTCAGGTTTTCCAGAAACTCTATTATCAACTTTTCCCATGAAACGGCGATATGTACCTCATCTGATAGAAAAATCTTCGGCCTATTGAAAACAGTATTCAGATTGGTTCCAGCTTTTACTGAAAAATAAAAAACAAAGGAGTTCTGGTGATTATGACACACTGTACTGCATAGATAATCCTTTAAAATGCTTCTTTTACATATCTTTAATGACTGGCAACACCTGTCTGGATATTCTGACCAGCTCGCTTTGTAGAAAATTACAAGGGCTATCCAATGGTATGTTTTTGAATAATATATAATTTTTCATTATGGCACAAAAATGACTAAAGGAATGTTTAACCCTCCGGAGGTGTTCGCATTTTATCACACGAACGATGTGGATAAGTAAGGTAAACGTGACTTTCCATCTGTACTGTGCTATGTAAGATATTCTAATTCTTCATATGGTTCTCATGCATCATTAGAAGACTAACGATTAGCGAAGAGATCGCTTCGAATTGCATAGATCTTAAAGTAGAAATGAACAGAAAACACTACTGTGGATCTCCTTGGACCGATAAATACCTCCGGAGGGTTAAAGCACTAAGATAGGTGAACTTGATGATATCGGCCAAATATTTTGACAATTGTCCTGTATGGGCATATTTTTGAAAACCTCGTTTATTTTGAAGTCCAGAAAATAAAATTTCTGTTCTATTTTTAATTCTAACAAATCGTAGAACAACAAAATGACCATCAGTCAACCGTGGAAACGAATAATAATAATAGATGGATAAAAAAAAGAAAAGATTTTTTAATAAAAGAAAGAAAAAGAAGGTAAGATTATTGGGTGTACAAGGGAAAATACTATGTGTGCATTTTGTAGTCTTGAATCGAACATATTTTCTTTTTTAATATATAAATTTACTACGACCATTGTCACGTGATAAAACTTTGAAATTCTAGGTATTGAGTTTTCTTCAAATTGTTGTCAATATATTTATATCTGTATTTTACATTTAATCTGGCTGTCTTCTATTTTCTTTTATTTTCAGACTATTAACTTCAAAAATAGGTAAAAAATGTGTAGTATGTCTTCTTACTGTGTAGTATGTGTTCCAACATTAATTCTCATTAATTTTGCTAACGATATTTGTCAACAAACTGATCTTGATGTTTATATATAATGATTCATCATAATAGTTGTGGTTGGGTAGTTGTTGACGATGAAAATAAATCTCATTTGTCAAAAACAATAATATATTTACAAATCGATAACAATGAATGTATATCAAATAGATTTAAAGATTGTAATAAATTTGAATTAGATCATAATAAAGAATGCATTAGTTGGAATAAAATTCTCTACTATTTTTGTCGTCAAAATAAAACATATAATTTTTTATGATTTATTGAAGATGATGTAGTCATACATACCATCAGTAAAATCTCTTGTACAACTAATAGAAAAATGTTACAATTATGATTTAGTATGTCAACAAACTACAGTGAATATTTCTGGAGATTATGATTGATATTGATATGATTGTATAAATAAATTTCAATTATCATGGTAGAGATGAATGGTTTCTTCCATGGGTAAGTTCGACGAGTATGAGACTCTTCAAAAATTTGTGATATGAATGAGATGTTGACTATAACAGATGGTCCAGATTAAATTGTCGGTTTTTCAAATGCTTATTTCTCAAATTAGACTCGATCAGAAAGTTTGGTTCTGATGGTAAAAGATAGAGAATTTTGTGTAGATTTTTTTTATATGTTCTTTTTTAAATAAGCAAGTACCGTTCTTTTGTAGCATTACAAATATTGGATACCACAAAAACATTATCTGCTCAGCACTTTACTAGAACAAAATGTCATTTTTATTTACTAAATAATTTTCTATACGCTATTCAAACAGACTATGCAAAAGTACAAAAATGTATTTGTTTTTGAGACACAAAACCAAATTTTTAGACTGAGTTTTACTATGTTGAAAAGAGGTCAGCCCTTATAAAAAAGAGCATTTTGTAGAGCTTTAAATTCTAAATCTGTTTACATAAAAGGATAAAGGATAAAGGATAATTTTCATAAGACCAAGTTGTGAGAAAATTGCTAAAGAAAAGTAGGTTGCCGTGGCTCGTGACCGTCTTTTTGATATTTTGTGGTTTTTGAAGGAGAAGTAACTAAGCTTAACAAACCCAACACACCACGAGACACAACGAAAAATTCTATATCTCTTACCACAAGAAAAGAATTTTTGAACTCAATCTAGCTGGGTAAAATGAATTTTTTACACGTTTCCGATTTTGTAGTTGAGCAGGTGATATTTTTGTGGCATCCAATACTTTTAATGCTAGAAAAGAACGGTACTTGCTTATTTTAAATCAATAAAATCTACACAAAGTTTTCTATCTTTTAGTACAAGAACCAAACTTTCTGGTCCAGTCTAACTTGAGAAAAAAGCATTCCAGAAACCGGCAATTTAATCTGGACCACTCGTTATCATCAATTGGAATTTTCTTAAACGATTTCGACTGTCAAATTTTTAATTATTAATTAGTCATTTACGTTCTCCCTTTTAAGAACATCACGCTTGTACTTTATACAACAGTATTTTTTATTATAATAGTAGAATTTATTGCAAAATAAAGGCATTTTAATTTTATCTGTGTATTTTATTTTAATATAATCGTAGAAAAACATGAAAAGAAAAGTTGTTTTCAATGAATACTGCTGTTATTATCAACAAACTTGTTTTAACTAATTCGCTGGCTCTAAGTCAGTCAAATGCGCTTATACTTTACAATGTGATTAATGTAGCTTTACCTATTCTAGGTATATCTCGTCGATTATTTGACCATGTAGATGAGCATGTGCGTCAGAATGGTTTTCTTCCATTTGTTGAGTACCTGTTTAATACCTTAGCAGAATAATTTATCTCTTTTTCATCCGGTTGAATTGTCGAATATGGCATGGAAAAGGAAATGAAAATATGATGAAATTAAACTGCATCCTTTGTGGTGGTATCATCCATTTAAAAATGTAAACCATCAGCATGAATTTTGGTAAAATTTAAAAGAAATTGACCTCGCTTTATAGATAAATAGTAATTAGTTCTTTTTAAATGAACATATCTTGATTTACTCGTCGTTTAGAGCAGATGTAATCATTAGTTTTTTATTTACCGATGTTTTATCAATAAAATATACCATTTTCACTACTAAAAAGCTTTTCGCTGTTGTTTTTTTAGAAAACTTATAGCAATAAATGGACGTGAGATGATTTCTGCAAGAAAATGGTCCTATATATTTTTGAGAAGATTACGACTGCAACTGATCAGAAACGGTTCGCTTTTAGTTCTTAACATTTCTGCGCTTCAAAAGTTGACTGTAGACTACCACATTCTGAAATTATAAATTTTTTCTATGTATCGGTCAAAAAGCCACTTCAATCGTATTTATTCATTTTTCTCCGTGAGTTCAATATTCTTAGCAGAATCTTCTATATATGAAAAAATGTAAAATTGAACGGGCTTTAGAATGATCTATAATACATGTTTTCAAACCAGTATTCTCATAGAGTTATTCGTCAAACATTAATTGTAACTATTTGTACTCCACACTTGTAACCCTCACTGAATATAACGTGTGCGTAATGGTTGCATCATCGGATTTGGCTCACCGAGATCTAGCGATTTTTGTATGATACTTATTATCCCTCTCAAGTATAATTGGGGTTTTTCAGAATCATCTTGGAGATTCAGCTGTTTGACTCACTGTTTTGAGTATAAAGTGTCGGGAAAAAGCTTTTCTGATTAATCCATTGGGTGATAAAACTCAGCCTGATGCTCGGAACATCTTTTTGTAAGCAACTTACTTTCGAAATTTTTTTGCTAAACGATACAATAGCTATGCCATTCACTCACATAGTGTAATTGACTAGAAAAAATAGTAGAGAAACGAAAGAAAGAATATTATCGCTATTTGAACACTAGAAGACAGAATATGTTGACTTTTATTAATGACAAGACTTTTATCATTGATTGCAGCAAAATTCATGCAAACTAAATTAATTTTTTAATTTATTAATTAATTTTAATCTTAGCTTTCGAATCACCGATTCATCATCATCTCTCAATATTTCTTCGTCGGTACGATTTAAACTCGACTTGAAGTGAGAATGATAGAAAAACTTCTCAGTTATACTTTTAAAGTCTGAAGTTAAAGCTAACTGTTTCGGTTCTAATACCCGTAGTTCTTTTTGCAAATAGTCATCATCTTCTTTTCGTTTAGTATAATCCATATACTCATTTCTAATTCCAGGTGTTGTGAAAAAGACATTCTATATTAGCTATAATATCATTCTGATCAATCTTTGGTATTCTTGCAAACATTAATCCATTTTCTAGTTTCATAAAATTCCTGTTTCAGAAATTTCAAATTAAGTTTTATTGTCGGTGAATATACTCAGAGTTTTTCCGTTAGTTTGATCAAAAGTATAACTGAGAAGCTTTTCTATCATTCTCAAGTCTCTTTCTGTTCTCACTTCAAGTCGAGTTTAAATCGTACCAAAGTAGAAATATTGAGAGAACTACTTAAGGGCTGCAAAATATAATGCCCCTGGATATTTTTAGAATAACTTTTGACAGAAAACGATAGAAACTTGCGGTTTTCACCCTTATGTAGTCAAGGCAATACAAAGATAAGAAAAATTTTCGATTCGGACACCACCTGCAGATGGTGTACCATATTGGTTTTTGAAAGATAAGGTTGCTAGAGTACCCCAAAAAGATGATTTTCAAATTCCAAGTAATGAATCGATTCTTCTCATCGTCGTCTACAATTCTACACAAGTCCCAAATATCTAGTTCTTATGGGCACGAAGCTATAGACATTCTGCGACAATCATCCTGTCTTGTACTAGACATGTCCAGCAATCTCAGAAACACACGTTATATAGGCAACCAAATGCGCCGATCGCCGTGGCAATGTTTATTTTCTTCCTCAGATCACCTTCAGCTGAGCGAAGTTTTTCAAAATTTACCTTCTCTCCTATATTCATGGAGAGTAGTTTCTGTAATCCAAATTCATTTACAGTTTATCCATCAGTTAAGAACAACCATGGATTATGCAATAGTTTATTCTGGGCAAAGAATATTGTACCCACGGTGCTGTTCGTCTGTATTACTGTTGTTAGTCATTAGCGTGGCAACTCAGTTATAAACACGTTGATAAACCAAATATTTTAAAATGGGTAAAAGATTTTTGTTTAAAATAACTGGTCAGGCCTTATTCAATTTTATTGAAAGTGGTGAAGATGGTCTTGCATATGTAATCAAATGTAATCCACGAACACATTCAGCCATAATAGCATGTTACAGACACCCTCAGATTTTTTCGGCCCAGTCTGGTTCCGCCCGGAGATAAAGCATAAATTTTTTTCGAAAGAGCCCGTAGAATGTATACGGAACGGATATATTCGGATGTACAGAACAGATACTAAAAGGACAGCCATCGTCCGTGACATTTTCAAGAGAGGATAGTGTCTGTTTTCCATATTTAATTTGAGCGTTGTCTTTCGATGTTTTATCGACTTTTTGGGAAAAACATGCGGACAATCAAATGGCAAGCCCGATTCGATCCTACCCATAAACAAGTTTCAAAAAGGTTAGCCCGATCCGACCCGACCCATGGACCTCCATGGGTTTTCTCGGCCCGTGACGATCTCTGCTCGGCACATGGACAAGTAATATAATTATAATTCTCAGATGGTCAGACGTTGTTTTGCTTTATTGTTATCAGTATCTCGGTGTAAGTAGAAAAACAGCAGAGTTAACATAATAAATAAAAAAGGTTGACGTTCTCGATGCTCTTTAAACAAATAAAATTTTATTCTAATATATTTATAGCTGAACGGTTCACCGCAGTCGATATAGCCTAGGACTAAATCTCATTTTTACTAGTAGTCATTGCTAATTCACAGAACGTTATTTTGGTACAAAGTGTTCTATTTGACAATGTCTCCTTTCTTAAAGTTGTTTTTGTGTTGTTGAAAGAAAAACCAAGGATTTATATAAATTTAACGTATCGACAGGAAACTGGTTCAAACTTCAATATATTTCATGCGAGTGAATGCTATACTCATACAAAGCATTCTTCTTTTAAACTTCCGGTAGTTAAATTCCACTATATTTAGTTGTAGCCCTAGTGTAAGAATAACGCAGTGACTCGATCTTTTGCATTTAGTGGCTGTTTTGGGACACATACCACATGATCAAATCAAGTCTAAGATCCTGACCGGAAACTTTTTGAAACAAATTTAGTCATGTAGAGCAAATTTCTTTGACTAAAATACGATGCATTCCAGCTCTCCATGACCTTTTTTCACAAAAACATATTCATTCTAAAAGTGGCTCCAGGCTGACGTCGAAAGCACGAAAAAATCGACAAAAATAACAATGAATTAACGTTGGAGCTGCTTTTAGAATGAATGTGTTTTTGTGAAAAAAGGTCATGGAGAGCACGAAAGCATCTTATTTTACTCAATATAATGTGCTCTACACGACTAAGTTGGATTCAAATAAAGTAAAAATTTTTAGTAAGAATCTTGGACTCAGTTTTCCGAAAACCATAATTCTATTCCTTCTATCAACTTTGAACGTACTTAGTATCTCGGAGATACATCACGATACTTAATTGGCTTCCTTGACCTTTTAATATAACGAAAGATTACAACTAAATATCTGTCGTTATTGAACAGCTAATACATCGTGGAAAAGTTGACTACTGCTGACCACTGCAAAAGACTTGGCAATGATGTCCGTCTACCAACATGTATTTCGTATTAAATGAACTTTATTTCGCAAAGAAGAAGAGTAAGAGCAGTAACAATAAACAAAAAAGAAAAAGCATAATAAAGGAGAATAACATTCTCTTAACAAAAAAAAAACATATCAATCTAATTATACACACATGCACATACTTATAAAAACAGACCAACTCGCCTAGCTCATGTTTCACCAAATAAAAATAAAAATCTTCTTTACTCTTGTTCACAAGCAAAAATAGCAATAGCTGGCACAGACAAAATGTAGAAGAGAGAGGGAAAGAGAGAGAGGAACGACTAGACAAAAAGAAAAAAAGCATGCAAAATAACCGAAGAAACATCTGATCGTAAAAGAAAAATACACAAACGCGCGCACCGTGGTGATTTACGCACGTAAATAATTCTCTTGTTCATAAAATATACAAATATACGAGTTCACAAGCTTTTATCTGAAAAATCTGACTATATAAAAGAAAACACAAACAACATAAATTTTTTAGTCACTAGTTGCTTTTTCTCCTTCATTTGGCTTAGCTTGTTCTTGTTGCTGTTGTTTGTTAACAATATTATCATCTGATGTATTTTCAATATTATCTGACGTTTGTTCGACAATGGTTGCTGATGAGGACGCTATCGAGTCAGCAGCCTAAAAAGAAAAAAGAAATATCATTCATGAGGAACAAACAATTGACAAATACACTTTTTTCTTGAAATAATAATCTTAACTTCATTTAATAGCTAACTTCTCACCTGCTGCATGGATTTATTTTGATTTGTCGTTGATATTGATGCGTCACTCTGTTCTAATTGATCATGTTGTTTTAGATCAAAATCAAACTTATCATTTGGTAATGGAATGGTTGTTTGTACACGTTGTCTTTGATGATGTTGACTGGGATAACTTTGTTTACGCGAACGGTAAGACGACGATGACGAATGTTGTTGTTGATGTTTACTTTTCATTTTTTCTTCATCTAATTTTATCTTTTCAACTTTATCCATGATTAGTTGAAATTGTTTTCGATCATGTTCGTTCAACTGTGATAAATGAGCTTGTAAAATCCAATGACCTTCATCAGTGACAGTAGGAATTTCTTTTGTTTCTGGACACGAACGTTTTATTTTATGACGCGGTGATGTCGATGAAGAGTTGGACGACGATGATTGTTGATGTTGAGATTCATATGAATCTTTGTTGCCATTCGATGATGGGGCGAATTCGAAACTTTCATTCTGACGTTTATCTTTTTTACCTAATTGAAAGAAATTGAATAAAAACGTTTGTAGCTACAGTTACTATACTCAAGAATTCTTCTATTAACGCTTTTGAAAAGAACTAATGTTTGTTAACTTCTTTTTAAGTTCTACAGTTTATATGTTTACCTGATGTTGGTCGATGAACAAAATCAAATTGTGGTATCTGTCCATTATTTGTAGCCAAATTATTTTTATTAAAATTATACGATGGTTGTTGCTGTTGACATTGAACTAGCGAATTACTATTAAAATGTAATGGTCTTCCTGTTAAATCGGATCGATAGATATGATCAATGACATGCGGAACAGCAAAGGAATCATTCACTGATGTTTGAAGTTGAGGAGGAGCAAATTGATTCGGATATTCCGATGGAGGTGGATAATGTTGTTGCTGTTCATTAAACTGTTGTTCTGTAAATTGTTGAGCATCTTTTACAGCACCGGGTCCTTCTCGTTTTAACATATCTCGTATCATTAATATAGCATCACTGATTGGACGTTGTTCACCTCTTAACTCACATCGAATATATTCTTTACGTCCACTAGTATCTTTCGGTTCAAATCCAATATCCCGTAAATGACATCGATTACGAATGAGTTTCAAATTTGCACCACCTTTACCTAAAAATGGAAGAATAATGCAATGCATCTGTATGAAAAGTAGAGAGATCAGAGAGAACTTTTCTAAATCGGTCTTACTCGTGTGCAGCTTATATTAGAAGCTCAAAATGGATGCAATGAGAATTATGTACTAACAATACACTAACCATTGCTCATAAAAGAATAGTTCAATTAAAAAACAAGCTCCGATATAATGTTCTGTGCATTTATTTGTAACATTATTGTAACAGCTGAAGACAAACTACATATAAATATTGTTTGTCAGAGCATATTTCAGCTCAAAAATTCTTCTCTATAGTGTATTCTGTGATAGTTTTTCGTAACGAAAATTTATGAATCTTACTGTAAGATCACTTTACTTTCGATCAGATAACACAAGTGTAGACTTACCAATGATTCTTGCAACACAATCTGTTCTTATTAAAATTGCTGTTTCAGGCTGTTGGTGTTGTTGCTGATACTGGTAGCCTCGTTGTTGCTGTTGTGAAGGATGAAACATCTGCTGTTGCGATTCATGTGAATATTGCTGTTGCTGATAGTGCTGTGAGGCAGGATGGAATTGTTGTTGTACATTACTATTATCAAATCTTCTTTGTTGTTGTTCATAGACTGAGATAGAAAATGGTGGTTGCTGTTGAGGAGAATATCCAGCTCGGTTTTGATCAGCACGGAAACGACCTTCACTCCTTTGTTGTTGAGATTGTTCGTAACGATTATAATTATTTGTTGGACGTTGGGGAAATTCAGGTGTAGACGAATGTGCCGGATTTTCACTCATTGTTCCATCTTGTTGTAATTGGTCTGAAGGTTCACATCCAGCTGAGATCCTAGCAGTTGAAACCGGATAATCTAAACAAAATGAATACACGTAGAAAATATGAAATTATTTGTTACGCCGGAAGATTTTTTCACACATTTTTAATGGTACTATTGTGTGCATCCTACAGAGAGCATTTCAGAATAGATTCCGATAGTCTGCCATTATTTCTCTCTATCGGTACTATCTGAGCCAACTTTTCTATCAGAAACTTTTTTCAAACAAACTTTACTGTTTGTCTAAAACATTTTCATATATTACGAATTAGAAAATACTAGCAATATTTCTATCTTTGAAGACAGAAAAGTTCATATTATGTGTATTTAGCAAATTTTTGTTTTTTACTTTAATCTATTTTATATACAACATTAATGAACGACGTGATCAATTACTGAGACGAAAAAGTAATGTTTGCTGCCCTGCCACAGAGAAAGAAAAGCATTATCCTGAAGTTCGTCGTGTTCAGTCCAAAGACAAAAGCTTTTTCAAAAATTCTGTCAAAGACGAAAAAGACAATATTTAATTGAGAATGCTTTTATGTTCTAGAATATAAAAAATATTCTATCTATAAAGTCATCGTTTATAACCGAAAAAATATTTTGTATATTATATGTTTATACAGTTAAAAAACAAGGTATTTATAGATATAACAGTTTGCTCGTATGATAGCTATACTAACCCAATGGACGGAACAGAAGAATAAACGTTGATCGACCGAAGTCTTTCTTGAAACGCTTCCTTAGTTTTTCTACTACTCCTGTTTTTCAATACTTATTCAATCATATTTATTACCTTTATATATTTCTGGTTCTTGGCCTAATTCATGTTGTAAAAATGCCGTTATCTGAATACATGCATCCGCAATTGAATCAATATTATCACCCGTTATTTGTAATTCAAATTGTTTTTCTCCAAATTTAGGACCAGGCTGAAACAGACAGGAATCTTACCACAATACAATTTTTTTGTTTTATCTATATGATGCATACCCTTTGTATCGCAACATTTAAACGTTGTTGTAATGTACCAATAAAATACGAACTCCCTAAATAGAAAATTGATGTCATCTTTTTGCCATTATGTTTTACTTTGATATAAAAACATACTTTTCCAAAGATCAATTACTTCTTTGAATAATAAAAATGTAAAATTCATTGTTGGTTTTTTTTCTATTGGATGGTATCGAAGTATGTCTTCCCTTTGTTGCTGTTCGGATGTGGAATTAGTATTCCCAGCAGTTAATGGTTTTTCTTCATTTATTGATTTTATTTCTTGACTATCACCACCGGGATTTTCTTGCGACTGTTCATTTGTTAATTTAATTTCTTCTGATTTATTTTCATTACCTTCCGTTTGCTGTTGTTGTTTTGATTGTTGGTTGCCACTTGCAACCATTTCTTCTTGAATACTTCCATCACTGCTTATAGTTGTTACAAATACATTTGATTGAATACTTTCACTAGAGTTAGCGGTTTTTTCTTCTGAATGCGACTGATACTGTTCTGTAGGCAGATCGACTGAAGATTGTATTACCGTTATATTTGGAGATAGTATTGAACTATCTTTAGAAACTGTGTTCAATTCGACTAAAAGAGCATACAGAGAAACTATTAGAGGAAAGTTGACGAACACGCATTGTTAGCTGCTGAAAGAATAATAACTGTTTTATATGACTGCAAAAAACTCAAACTATCTTGTATTTATAGAAGAGACAACTTTTTCTTTTTACGACGTATATATATTAAAAATATTATAAACCCACTATAAATGCTAGTTGGTTTCAAAAGCGTTTATTCGAAAGTTTGCATCCATTGATTTATTATACAGAACAAAAAACTGATTGAGTATTATTTCACACAAATTCTGCAAAGACAGAGTATGTCTTTTTTTCTTACCATCCGGTGTTGTTGGTTGTTGTTTTTCTTTATCATTAGTATTTTGTAATCGATCCATTTCACTGTAACGATTTTGACATTGATATTTTCGATCGGTAAAAAATAATTTTGAAAGAATTTCTTTTAAACATTTATGAACGTTTAATTCAGTGCCGAATATTTTATACGAATGTTTTTGAAAATGTTGATAACCAGGCTGAAGAACAGGAAAACAAAAGACTATTTTATATTAAAATGAACTATTTGCCTATTTTTTTACGAAACTGTCAATACAATGTAATGTAGCTGTTAATTTGCAAAGATTTTCAATCGTTAGTTTATTTGAAAGAATTAGAAATAAAGTTCATACTAGTACGATAATTCAGGTTGAACAAAGTTTGCGGTCAACCGCATCTAGACAGTTCATTGCCGTAAACAAGAGCAGGGATACATACGAGAATTTTGGCATTGAAATCGTTCCCTAATTCAGCGAATCCCTCATTGATGTCTAAACAAACACAAAAAAGTTAATAACAAAGTTTATCTTAAATATCACCTTAATTTCACCTTGATGTTTATACCCAAATAATTTCTTTTGTTGTTGAGAAACAATTAAAAATCTGACAGTGCATGCATTGGTATCAGACATTTCATATCTTCTGAATTTTTCTATTATTTTATCACGTTCTATGTGTTCAGATGAATAACGAATGTCTTGAGGAAAATCGGGTTTTTTTGCTGGAATTGGACATTGTGGTTTACTTTGTATCGGATTTTCATACTGTTGTTTTTCTTTTCCATCTATAACAAGGTCAATTGCATACAGAATTTCAGTTTCGTTCATGTTTAAATTTGATACTTACGGGCAGCACATTCATTGTCTTGTTTTTCATCCTTTACTCGAACGTTTTCTTGTTTATCGTCAGCCAATGATACTTCTGATTTTGTTGATGTTTTCTCTTCGTTACTTTTATGTTCTTCTACTGTTGGTTTATCATCTTTTCCATTTTCTTGAATTGATTGTTGTGAATTTTCTTGTGGTAGTACTTCTCCTTGAACAGAATCAGAGATTAATTTGTTTTCAGAAGATACTTTTTCACTCATTATTTGACGAAATTTATCTGCAACAAAATAAGAGTATAATAAATTTGTGAATTTATTGTGACGAAAACTCACGGGGAACGTATACGAAGATCAACTCATTTGTGACAAAAAGTGTTGCAACTTTTAATTGTTGAGTTTTTACTTTTAACTATTTGCTATTTCTTCACTTTATAAACTACAATTCACTGGGCTCTGACATAGTCACTCACAACCGAAGTGTTTTTGTGAGAAAATGTTTAAAAACTATACAGCATTGACTCAATTTACTATTATTTCTGCTACATATAAAACGAACTTTGGCAAAAACTTCTGTAGAATGGGGCAAAGATTCTAGGGCACCTTGCATTTCGACTCTGAGAAGAAAAGGAAAAAGTGTCTGTTTCACACAAAAGAAGTTGAGTCTTACAGATTTATCTTTACTATCAACATTTTTCTAATCCAGAAAGATCAACAAGCTTCGGCCAGTAGGTGGCTTAGGAACAGAAGATTTTCTTATGACAACACAAAATTTTACTAAACAACAAGGAATGATAATTTACAGATCGTTCAATCTTAAATTGATTTTCGAACAATAAATGTATGTATACACACGCATAACCACAGAACAGATCATAATTCTTATATGACAAGAAAAGTACAGGTTTTTTTGCACGAACTTTATTAAAGAACTAAATGTGAATCTGAACTTCGAGGACTTCATACTTGTTTTCCAGTATGTAAAACGCATAAGTGTCTGTAATCGGATGACTGTCAAAAAGATGACTTCAGTCTATGACCGCTCATTGCCACGTCACATAGCGCCCTTCTACCGCAGATTGAGAAAATTTGACACATCTTGATAATTATGTCGACAGACATTATTTTGAAGTTGGAATCGACACGAAAAATCTCTGAAATGCTATGTGGACTGACGACTAATTGCATTGACTTTAATATCAAAAACACTCTGATATTAAAAGGTGGGATCCAAATTCATTGGATATAAGTTTTAAATTTTATTTCATTTCCCCATGTTTCTGCCTTCTAACCAAGCACCCACCATTACTGAGAGCATCACTAGACCGGTCTTCAATGCGGTCCTTTAGTGGTGCCCTCAGGATATATCTCAGTAACGGTACTTGATCAGCAGACAGAAACACGGGAAATGAAATGTCATTTAAAATGTCCAACATCTTGATGTCATGACTGGGATCATCTTTTAGACGCTAAACTGCGCATAGCCGCTGATAATTGAATATATGCGTTGTTTCCTTTTAGCTCCAAATAGTACTTTCAAAGAGCCAGGATCAATGCGAATCTGCGTAGACAGTCTTTTCTTGGAGCTAAAAAGGAAACAACGATATTTTCGCCAAGCAAAAATACAAAGCAGAATTTAAAAATACCACCATATTTCAGGAACTAATCAAAAATATAACATTCAGGAACTATATAGCTTAAGTAAACAAACTTTGATCAATAAGGAATAATACGTCGATACACGATATAATAGCAGTTACGTTAAAGAGTTTATCCAGCTACAGTTTTTTTAATGTTAAATCAGACGTAGGTTAGATGTCGTTCTTATACACATGTATTGGTTTGCCTGTGAATTTTATCATCGATGAGACAGGTGTTTTTGTTGGGTTACCTTTTACTGATATAACCTAAACTAACCCAGTGAATGTAATTGATTACCTATCGAGCAGTCAGTCACTCTCTTTTTAGCATTGACAAGTCGTATATAAACGTTATAATACAGAACTAGCAATCTCTTTTCGCATATGCATATCTTCCAGTAAGGAAAAGCTGGAATGCCAGGCGCAGGGATTGAGAGTGAAAATTTCTGTTGTCCACTGTACAATAGACTTGTCCGTCTGTAGTGACTAAATGTGATGAAGCAAACAAAAAGTGCTCAACCCACTTCTTGTTGCGAGTGTCCGTTAGGCCGTCTGTTCTATTGGCTGAAAGTTAAGGGAGAAGTTAAATGATGTTTTGGACATTATTTATTTTTTAACTTCTTCCTTAATTTTTTTGAATTATGACCGGGCATTACAAGCCAGTAACAAGCTTGTGCTAGAGAGCGAATGTGGCGTTATTTTTTTTGCGTAACAGAAATAATCTGGTAGTTGTCTCTACATCAGCTCGCGGGACTATAACCATGGTACAGCAAGGACTGAATTGCAGATCATATTTTCTATGAGATGCGTAGTGTCAAACTATTGACAGCGCTAGGATGGCTAATTAACGCTGTCAAAGAGAAACATGGGGATATCTCAGGTGCGTTAACTTTTGTAGTTTAGACATCCTCCAGATTAACTTTGAGTTAAGTGAAAGTTAAAGTCAAAAATTGTGTAGTATAGACAAGGCACTAGATACTCTATATACAAACACTGTTTTTCTACGTCTCTCATCTAAAATGAGAATAACAAAAATACACATTATATCTTCAACCACACACACGTGTTTGTCGTATAACTTATACACAGAATATAGACTGTATTTTAGCATATGTCGTATACAGAATTTAATTCTTTTAAAAAAGAAAAGAAAAACATTTCTCTTGTGTTCTTGCCCTTCCAAAAACATTTACTGGCTATCAACGACGTAGCCAACACTGGACTAGGGATGGATCATGGACCACCCATTAGAAGATTTTTATCTGGAGCCTCCTTCAGGAGAAAATTTTTTATATTTCGATACATAAAAATTGTTAGTTGAGCGGTCCACTCCTTGAGAAATTTCTGGATACCACCGCTTACTATATTCACGAATCAAATTCTATTGTTATACCACTATTCTCTTCTGACTCAAATCGAAATTGTTGAATTCTGAGTCCAAAGCCCATCCAACATACTGCTTTAACCAACTAATTTATTTAGCTATAAAATATGAATAAAACTCAACTAAAAATCTTATTTCATACTTTACTCTCAGAGTCTTAACCAACGAAATGAAAGGATATGCTAGAACTACATTTTACAGGTGGTAGCACATAATGAGACGTTTTACTAAGATTTTTCACTGCTTGAGCTGGATGTAAGCTGGAATTACATTCTGTAACTATTTTGATTAAATTTGTTTCTGATTCGAAAAAATGACCCTGGTGAATTAACCGAGTCTGAATAGCTGCAAAATGTGAAATAGATGATGCTAGAAATAGTTTAGAAGTTGATTAATTGACATTGAAAGCAGAAGATATGTCTTCACGAACTTTACAGAAGATTTTGGTTAGAGAAATATATTCCGCGGTTCCATGACACAAACGTCCGCAGATTTATACCGCTAACCTAGGAATCTAAGACTGTTTATTCACGAAAAGTCAGAGTCATCAAAGGTCACTGACTTGTCATAACTGACTCAAGCCAAACAACACAAAAAGAGTAACAAAAAAGAACAAAATAAATAAGTCAACTAAGGTTAGAATCAGAAGTAGTAAAAAACCGCTTTTATGACAGCACATTTCTATTTCTCTCCTTTATTTTTGAATCTTTGTAATTGTGACTAATCCTTTAGAAAATAAAATCTAGTTTAAAAATGAGTGTTCATTTCGTTTTTCTTGACCACTTTCCCTGATGAAGTACCCGGTGAATCCCTAAAAAAACTTGAAATCTCTGGTGAGTTTCCGAAATAACGTGAAATCCCTAGGGAGTTCTCAGAGATTCCCTGTAAAATTTCTGATAACTCCCTGGTTTTCAGGGAGTGGAGAGAAATAATTAAGTCCCTGACGACTCTCTGGAGATTTCTTAAGGAGAGCCTAAGACTCGTCGGGATTAACTTGTCGTTTCGACGTGAGTTAACTTTTCAACCGAGTGACTGGTCCACTGGACGAGGTTCACGAACCAACCGACAACAAACAGATGATGTCGCTTGAAGTTGCTGTTTTTTATGTTTCTGGGGCTCGTTTCACGAAAAATCTCAGTTAAGATTTGACTTTATTAAGTGTGACTTAGGTCAAACTTAATAAAGTCAAACCCTAACTGAGATTTTTCGCGAAACCAGCCCCTATGTAAAATAAAGATAAAAAGATAATTCTCCGATCTGATTGGTGAAGATGGCGGCTCAACCAAACAGATGGAGCAATTTATCTTATTTATTGATCTTTGTATCTTTATTTTATCATTACACACAAAAGGGCGTTTTTTAATGCAAAAGAAAGATTAATATATGAGAATTTGACACATTCATTCTCGTTGTTTTTCTTTCCAGTGGTAAATAGTGGACTGTTGTCTTTGGTTTTAGATAGTAATACATAACATTTATTTCAATGAAAGAAGGAAAGCAGAACATTCAGTGTTTGGTTACGTAATTTTGGCTAGGTAGCCTCATATTCAATCTGTCTCTTGACTTAAGCTTCGCAAGGCTGCACTCACGAGTACATGAAGCTTGCGTCGCCCTTCGGTCGGCACTCGCATAACAGTTGTTGACCGTCACTCAACATCATCATAGTCAGCGCCTGCTTCCTGGGATGTCTATCCTGTGGGGCGTTTGAGGCAGAATGCCTCAAATAAAAGTAATGTAGGACGCTTTTTGTTATAGAAATGCATTAGTCAGATGGTACACTGAGAGTTTGATCCTCTAAGGTGGTCCAGAATGTCTCAAATGTCTAGGTGGGGATAGATGCCGTTGCCTGCTTCTAATGTCGAACTATCCTCACCGTACAGTTTCAAATCTCTGTTCTCTCGGCTTTCAAATAAAGTTTAACGGTTATTTTCGTTTTTAATTTTCACTTATTTTCATATTCTTCTGTTAATTTCTTCGATGTTATCGATTATAGTGATGTTGCTCGGCGTCGAGTTTGCTCAAACGATCACAGTTGTGAGAAACCATTTAATAATTTCTCTAAAAGAGAAAAAATTATAGATTTCTGCCAAACAAATACGTTCTTGCTCAGACCTGTACAGTTTTTCAGACACAGAAAACTTAAATAGTCGAAGACTTAGCAGAAACTTTATGGACAGATTGAAGCTATTTCAATGTATGTCAATCACCACCACTAACGAATTCATCGATTATTTTTAATT